TCTACTACTCTTTGAGCCATTCCAGTTTCTTGGTTGTGACATTTCACAGCTAGCGAAAGAGAGCTATCGAGAGCATTTTAGACATCTTTATGTGCAATACCATAAAGATGGTTTGCTAGGACACCGTATCTCAGAAACACTGCTTGCCGCCTGTGTTTCTTCTGTGCTCAGAGCAGGTCCCTCAGGTCCCTCTCCGGAGCTAAGTGGGGACAGTGGGCAGCCAAGGCTTGGCATAGACCTACCTAAGGCAGCGAGCCTACAACTGCATTTCAGCAGGTCAGTAAATACTGCTTTAGAACTGAAAAAGAAAAGGCCTACCAGTACTTTCTCCATGAAAAACAATGTTCATTTTTTTTATGCTTTGATAAACAGCAGGACTTCTGAAAGGTTCCTGCACAGCAGCCTCTTAAGGTTCTCCCATCCATACTGACTACACATGACACCCACTGCAAACCACAGCGTGTGGGCTGGCACAAGCCAATGCAGCACTGAACAAGGGAGAAGCATTTGTTTTCCAGGCTCCCCTCTGTCCTACCTGGGATTTGGCCCCTTCTTCCTACAGAAGAATAGGATAGCAGTTCTTGCATGCTGTCTAACCAAGAGGTAACTGCTCGTTCTGCTGGCCTGCTGCAATGGTCTTGATTTCTCATCCACCGGTAACATAAAGCAAACACAAACCATTCTGCAAAGCAGCATCCAAACAGCACTGCGGCTTTTGGCAGCTCAGGCTGCTTGGGGATGCAATGTGGCAAAAGCACTCACGCAAGTGCCTGGTCCCCAAGTGATGCAGACATGGCACCATGGACTGAAAATAAAGCAAAAGTGAATGAGAAATGTGGATGCTGAACAGTGGGGAAGCCCTCCGGCCCTTGGCAGTACAGCACATGCAAGAAAACCCCAAAATTATTTTCTTGACACCCTGCTCTAACTGGAGTGTTTTATGGAGATTTTGGTGGTTGATTTAACTTCTACAAAATTCAACAGTAAATTTCTTTTATTTTCCTCCCACCTCCTGCCATAAAAAAAAAGATTTATTCCCTCGCTCCCGCAAGCACGTATCAATCACAGCGTATGAGGTGCCTGAGCAGCGATGAGTTCCGTTGCAGGGTACGGCTGGACAGGCGGTGATGCTGCGGGAGGACGAGCAGCTCCCCACCATGCTGCCCTTGTCCCCGACCCCGCTGCCTGCTCATGGTGCTGGCAAACGGGACTGACCGTGTTCAGCATCGCCGGCAGGGTCATGTCTGCACGGATTTATGCCAGCAGTGCTTCTTTCTGATTTAGAGCAAACTTTGTGCCTTTATCCTAAAACCAGCATCCCAATAACTGCTTTATCCTTTTCTGTGGACTTTTTCCATTTTTCCTTAAAATGGAAAAACAGGAATTCCGTATTTTACAAAATGCACCATTTTTTTTTTACACCGTAAAATGGCTACATTTTGGAAACTTTTCTCCCAAATACTTCCCTGTTTTCCCCACTTACGTTCCCCAACCAGTGTGCAGACCCGTGAAGCTGCCTGGCTGTGGGCCCTGGCCCCAGCCCACCCAGGCCAAGGTGGCTCTTCTTATTTTTTCACTGAGCTCTGCTTGGTGCCCAAACTGCCTAGTGAGACAGTTCTTTATTGTCGTTATTATTTCTACACATGCAGTTTCAAAGCACTTCCATGTCTCTGACTGTCGGTGCCAGGCCCCATGGCCAGGCAGAGGCAGCAGCTGTTTTGGAGCTGTTGGCCCCACAGCGTGCAACTTCACCACGTCTTGTTGTGCAGCTCTCTCATGCATTCCTCCTTTCTTCTCTCCTTCTTCCCCTTGCTGTCTCTAGCCTGCATTTTATTATCATCAGTACATCTTCAAAGTATCTACAATACAACTTCAAAGTTTATCAGCCGTATTACACTGACCAATTCCAGACTCAAATTTCCTCTTTTGTTCGGTTGTTTGTTCTGCGATTTTACACAAAAAGTAATCTATGTAATGCTATGATTTTTGCCTGCTTGGAGCAGATTTCACTTGTGCCCTCACCACCCATAATGGGTCTGATCTAGGGTAGTTAATGTATTTTGTTAAAAAGGAGTTTCTCACACTGTTTATCTCAGGGCAAATGCAAAAGAGTCACATAACAACAGAAATCCTCTAAAACCTTCGTGGGCAACAAAAATTACCATTTTGTAAGCCATTAACAACACCTTTTTTTTTTTTTTTTCCAAGTTGCCCTTTCAGTTTCCATACAAAGTCAATAAAAAAGAAAACAAAAACATGATAGTACAACTGTTACTTTATTTGAATGTGCAACAAATCAAAAAATCATGACTATATAGCATATATTGCCAGCATCGTATTTCAGCTGGCCAAATTGCACTATCAACGTCACCAACTGAGATGGTGTTCCAGACCAGGAGGTCTCAAATTCCACCATCTGTTACTTTTGACCTGTGCTCTGAGAAATAGTATTTAATTTCTTGTATGTAACAATGAAATGTAGCATTATATATGAGAAAAAACAGAGATAGTTTGGATTTGATCAATTCATGTATGCAATTTATAGTTCTAGTACAGTTCATTTTATTTCAAAAGAGTATTTTATGAATATAAAAGTAATGATCACTTGTTAAATCGTGCACACCAACTTTTTAAAACTTTATATTACTTGTGGTATTTTAGGGCTGTTCCTCCTTCATGTGCTTTTTTAAAGACTGTTTGCATACTCTTACTCAAGACGCACTGCTTTCTCTTCCTGTTCCTGTAAAACTTATGGCAGTACATTGTGTAATGACAAGTGACCAAAAAAATCAATTTGTAATCTGATTTGAGGGTTTTGATTTCCTCTGATGAGTTTAAATTTCATTAAAAGCAACCTTATTCGAACATAAAAGAAATCCTTGAAGGGTAAAACAGGGAATTGTCTCAAAGAGTATAAAGAATCTAAACTCTTTTGTGCTATTTATTCATGGCATTAATTGTGCGGTCCAGCATGCGGTGTCGGTTGGCAGATGCTTGGTTATCAGGCCCTGCGATCTGCACGAGGAGGGGAAAAAAAGCACAAGGGCTCACATTCAAAAATCGTTCTTTGGCATATTGACACTTTAGTTATCAACAGCCCTTATTATCTGCTTAGTGGTAGATCGCAGCTTGCTGGTGACATAATAAGCTACAAATCACTGATGGGGCCTTTCTGCATTCTCCTAATTGTATGTATTCTCTAGAAAAAAAATTATCATTGGTCCTCTTGTCTTGATGAGAAATTGACATTTTCTGGCTGATTCTGCGCAAGCACTATGCGGGGGAGATAAGACTTATAGTTGTTTTAAAGGAGTGCAGCCATTCTTTCAGGGGCCTCTTTATTGCTCTAGTTGACCCACTTGATGAGTATGGATTTCATGAGGTCTTTTTCAGCATTTGAACTATAAAAGGTTCAGAATGACACCACCCCTTATAGACAAAAGATAACCTTGCCCTTTGAATATATTGATTCTTTATTAACTAGGCTGTTTAATGCAATGAAATGAGGCATTAGATTGAAGCCTATTTCAAGTGCTTTGAATAATCTTTAAAAGCTTGAAAGACTTTAAAAAGCTGCTCTGCAATAATTGGCATATACTTTTAGACACTCTATTCCTTCATTTTGATTAAGGAAATTTTATCATCTTCATCTTTGCATTTCTAAACTTGGTACAGGCTGACACAACATATTTTTATGCCAGGGCTATTACCAGGTTATGGATACAGATGTGTCATAGGTGCTAGATTGCTCTAGGACTGTCATTCTTAGCACAAAATGTATTTTTTTTTTTTTGTTGGTTTTTTTTTTTTTTTTTTGCATTGAATGTTAGACCAACCATTTAGAAACTCATTATTCAAACCTTTGAAATAAACCTAAAAGGAACAGTGCCAGTAGGCATCATAGAGACTTTCATCCCAATAAACCATCTTATTTTTAGTGGAGTGCATCTGATTATGCCACTGGTTAAACATGATACACAGATACATATGCAAAGTGAAATGACTATCAACGCAAAATAATAATAATAAAAAGTGCTCTATATTTTTAGCATCTATTTTCATCAAACATAAAAACTATGTAAATATTGCAAGAAATATAGTTAAATATCCTGGTTCTGCTTCTTTGTAAATATAACTGCAGTAAGTTTCAGCTTCTCATCACACTCCGTCATTTAACTACAGAAGCATGGGGCACCTACAGCATGCTACACATCATTTGGCAATATATACACATGCATGTACATGTATCTACTTCCGAACTCGGAGTTTTTCAGTGCCTTCTTGAAGTTTCCAGCAGCCCTTGGTAGCGATGGAACAAAACTCACGTAATGAACTTCCTTCCTTTACCGGGACATGCACTTGCCTTGGTGTGCCTCAACTTCTGGTTTAGAGCTGGAACTGTCTCCCGTGCAAACACCCTCTGACCGGGAGGCTCTGAGTCATGCCCACCTCAGCATATTCACAGTTCAGGTACATAATATGTGCATTGCATGTGCTATAGTCCAAGGGATAAAATATTTGTGTTCAGTATTATAATTAGCAAAAACATTTGCTTTCTTATCAGCATTTACAAGACAAGCAGATTGACCTTCATTGTCAAACCACTGCATGGAAAATTTGGGCTGTGCTATGTTTAAAAGAACTTTTCCTGTTTACAGAACTTTACCATGCCATAATAAAATGGAGGAAAAATAAAAATGCTCTACTGGTACCTTTGCAAGAAGGGTCTCTGGGACACAATTTTCGTTACATACTTTACCAAGGCTGAGCACCAAGTCACCACCGGCCTGCAGAAGGTTGCTTTCTTCTCAGTCTTCTCATGGGCTGCCTGGGCTATCCTGGCTTTTCTCAGGGAAAACCCACTTCACGGTTTATACTTTTTCTTAATCAAGACATAACTACAAATGCTGACAGTTAGAAATGAAACCCCCAGTGTTGCATTTTTTCGTTTTGTCTTTAGTCAGTTTTTTAATAATCAAACCAGATAAAATTACTAAAAATGAAATTCACAGACAAGAAATACTTTAATTAAATATTGTGTAAAATGAACATTTTTTTATACAGTTAAATATATGAAAAAATGTACAGATAAAACAATCTTATTGTAGGGTCTTTAACAGTAAAATCTACCATTTAGTGAAGCTTTCAATTTGGAGACAATGAAGCAATGAGTGCATTGACTAAGTAATCTAAAACACAAACAGGTTGCATTTATGAAGAAACTTGCAAACTTTCTTAACATGTACACGTGACCTCTTCGTTAGATCAAAACCTTACTTAGACAAAATATAACTGAGGCAATTCAGTTCCAAAGTGACTTCTCAGGCTTTTCCACTTAGCTAAGCCTTATTAGTTATCACAAAATAAATGCACAAGGCATTTATCAGCTGTGATACACTGTATCATTCTTTTAAACCCTTTAATAAACACTTTACTAAAATGTGCATTTTTGCCCAGAAAGAAAAAGAAAAAAGAAAAAGAAGAAGAAAAAAAAAAAAAAAAAAGATCCCTCCTTTTTGGTTAAAACTTTAATTCTGCTGCAGTTTGCAAAATGTTTTGCAGTGCTGCATTTGCAAACTATTTAGTGCAAAGTAAAAAAAACTCGACATTTCTCACTATGGATTTGGCACTAACAGCCACAATACACTACGGAGGTCATTCCAGTTTAAAAAGTACAGTCATCTATGGGTCTATTACAAAAAGTCCCATAAAAAAACTGATATAACTAAATAAACAAACCCCAAACATTTAAAAATTATGTACGATCCTGATTTCACGTGAAACTTTTATCTTTTTTTAAACAGTGCAGGGTTGAGGAGTATGCAGAGTGCAGCAGAAAATAGACACATAAAGGAGTGATATAATTGTACACCAGTTTTGTGCTTTTTTTTTTTACACCAGAAATCATCCAAATGAAGTAGTGATTAACAATTGTGGTGTAAGCCTGTGATAAAACAGCACAAAAGTTCTTCAAAGAAGTTCACTTTTAAGGCATCAGAGAAGTTAATGTGGCAAACATTTTAATTAAAACATCAGAAGTGAATTTATTTTAAACTTTAGGCCTCTGAATTTTTCCAGTAAACACAGTTCAGCTATGTGGCAAAGTCATGGGTGGCAGCTAAAAATGACTTTTTACAATCTTTAAAAATAAAAATAAAATAAAATAAAAAGCAAACAAACAAACAAACAAACAAACGGAAATACAGAAGAAAAAAAAAAAAAAAAAGAAAGAAAGAAAGAAAGAAAGAAATGCAACCACAAAATAGATTCCTCTTTTTTTGTGGCTGTATCACATGCACATATTCTACTAGTATTCATTACAGCCATGTGGCACAATTTTGATTTGACTATACAACAAACAACTTTTTTTTCAAAATTATTTGTTCTGATAACTTAAAAATAATATAAAAATAAACAATGAATTTGACTTTTCCTCAAAAATAATAAAAAAAAGGATGGAAAGTCTAAATAATAGCAACTTTATGAAGTACAAATGAAATGTACGGACGCTAATTTATTTAAAAGAAAAACATGAAGGCAACTGTTCTTGGCTTAATGCTATTCTCAGCATCACAATACCAGGCCATGACAAAAACCAATACATACAAGAAAAAAATGATGAAAAGCAATATACAAAATTTCAAAGATAAATACAATATTTATAGTTGATATGTTACAAAATAAATTCCCTTAGTGACTGCAAGTGTTTATGTGAAAGAAAGTGTTGCAATGGGTAAGACTATTTTATTCCTTATAAGCTTCATAAGGAATAAAATTTGCTTTTCTAAATATTTAAGTGGATCTGAAAAAAATTCAAGACAAGTGTATAAATATTTAGCTACAACTTTGGCAAAATCACAAAAGTCTACAATTTTATAACCACATACAAAACACATTAGGGAAGAAGGATCTAGAAGTCAAAAGGACAATTTTCTGGTACAAGAAACATAGACTTCACAGTAGCCTAAGAATGCAATAGTATACAGTGCTAGCAAAAGTTGAAAAAATGTTGCAGATCACACTTGCTTAACAGGAAGCTCTAGCAGTGGAAGTATAGGTTTTTACCAACAGACAGTAGCAATTTTTTCTCTGTCAGTGTGCTTGTTGAAGGCAAGAGAATTCAATATCAAAGGTACAATTTCTAACTACAATAAGTTACAAAGTTCCATTTCATTAAGATGAAGTTAAGCAATGATAAACCCTCCCGCGCCCTCCCCCGCACCCCGTTTTTTTGTTCTAATCATATATTCATCCTTTTTCCAGTTTGATGGCTCATAACCTCCTTGGCCCCCTTTTTTCCACCACAAAAAAATATTTCACATTATAGAGATACACAACCATTGTGAATCTAGTTATGAGTACAGAAAAATGTTCGGAGGCATTTTTCATCAGTGTTTCATGATAATCAAAATGGTGCATCCACAAAGTTTCTCCCAACACATAGCAAGTACTAGACATAGCCAAGACGTAATCAGAAACTTTATACAAAATAGGCGTCGCTTTTTCCTTATTCTCCAGGACTGAGAAATGTGAAAATATGAGAAAAATTCAGTCAATAAAATGGAATTGTTCATGAAGAAGTAGGTTGTTTGCATGTAGATTCTTAATAGTTTAAATAAAATCTTTAAACAAAGTCTTTTTTGTAGCATTTCGATTTGTTGCTGATTCTGTTTGAAGACACTGTTTCCATCAGCATGTCTTAATATACTAAACTTGTCCCCTAAGCCCATCCTCTGAAGCTTGGTGCTACGGTAGGTAAACAAAATGACTTTACATTGGCGGGACTACAAGCCCAGACATAGCTAAAAGAAAAAGAGAGAAACCAGCCGTTATTGTCATGTTTGCAGAATAAGGCACATCTGGTTCAAAGCGAACGCAACGCTCAGCACAACGCGGGAGCAAACACGGCCCCACACAGGGGGTCAGACCGGGAGGTTTTGAACAAGGCTTTGTGCGTCCTGGCACGGCTGCACATGACAGCCCACGATGCCATCGCTCGGCATCCAGCATCACACAGTGGAGAGAAACACCACAAAAGTGCTTTCCCAGCGACATGCTCCTTTACTTTTCCAACAATCCCGACACCTTTTTGTGGGAAGCATCCCTGCTCCCGCGCGTGCGCTGTTCCTCGGAGCGGTTTGTTAATAGCAAACCGCAGGCCAGACTCCCCGGGGACGGGCGATGCTGACAGCCGAGGAACAGCGTGGTCACTTCTGGTAATGTCAGGCAAGGCCAGCTCACCCGCCAGGCAAGGACCCAGCGCTGCTCCAGCTCTGGCAGTGGAAATCTCACTAACCTCAGTTTCCTTCCCCAGAGCTGGCGCCTAAGCACAAAACCTCCATTTTGACATTCTCCTAATTGTGCTTTATCATAATAGCAGGGCTGAGCGAGTCAAGGACTCTCTAAGATCAAAGCCAAGTAATGTACACCTGCTCTCAAATCTTTACACCAAGTGCTATAAAAAGGCAGGAGATTAATATCCCTGGACAGTCGTCTCATTTTTTTTTTTAACAGTTAAACACTGAGAGGCCAAAACCTCCTGCTTTTTTTCTAGTTAACTCCTTGGTAGAAACATAATTTAGACCATCTTTAATGTTAGTGTTGTTTAATTTTTGTCATAATGACATTTCTCATTAATTTATGTACAACAGATATTAATAAATTTGTTCATGTAGTGATGTGAACTTCAATTTCTCAGTTCATTAATTTCAACAATATTAATTTATTTCAGATTCTCTGTTACAACTTTATGGTTTGGAAGACTTGTGTACATACACATTCCCCACATAGCAGAATCCCCTATAGCAGCCAGTTGTAGTTTTACTGCATGCTTTAACCTAAACAGCGACAGAAGTCACAAAACTGGAAAAAAGGAGTGAGTAGTGCACCTATCAACAGACTCTTTCTACCAAAAGCCCTCGGTCTCCATGTGACATTTCTGTTGAGCCTCCTGTCCACCATGTTACATCAGCCCAGGCCAAAGGACCATCGAGCTCCGAGCACTCCCCTGCTTAGCCACCTACTCACAGGCTGAATTCTCCTTCCCCCTCTGGCTTTTCTATGCCATAGTCCTGACAAAAAGCTCCTGGGCAAGCACCAGGCCCTGAGAATTGCAAGTGCTCCTGCTCTGGCTGTGTTTTCAGTCAGTGTGAAACTGGGCCCCAGGGCGGGCAGGAATGAGAGATTTGGTCATACAGAGGATGTCTGAAGCAGGGGACAAGGCTGCAATCTGCAGATCCTGATGGTGGGGAGGTCACCATCTGAGACCTGCCTGCCTGGGGATGACATGCACATGGACCCTGGCCTGGAGGGACCTGCTCAGGGTTGGGGAGGAGGCCATGGTGTTCACCAGAAGGGCTCCTGGCCTGGAGGATGGGAAGGAGCACCCCTAGCCTGGGTGCTCATGACCAAGAGCACACATCCAAAGCTTACTTTGAGGTGCTGCTTTATTACAATACAACAACCAGCCACCCCAGGGATCAGGATCAGTGCAGGACAACCCAAAATACGCTGTCCTCCTATCTTCTGAGTTCAGGCTCAGCAGGGATCTGTCATCTCGTTTGCATTGAGGTGACGGTGGGACACACTACAGATTGTGTCTCAGAGGCCGCCTCTGCCTGCATGCTGTGCCAGCACACTAAGCAAAATGCAAAAGAGCAGCACTGATCCAGCTATTTCTTCCTTCAAAGAATAACTTAGCAGAAAACAAAATCCAGATTTTTCCTACAGATGTTGTGTGGAGAAATATGTTAATTAATAGCACGTAACTATCTGGTAAAAATACCCCATACATTTTAATCAGATGGTTTTTGTAAATCTCATGATTGGCTTCTGGTGTGTGAAAACATGGGTTGCCTGCTGCATACTTTTCTGGAAAACAAAGTCTGAAATCTTTAATTCAAGCCATTCAGCTATAGTTGTCAAATTCCATCTGTTGCACAATAGGGAGGAGGTGCAAAATTGGTGCCCTAGACATTTATTTCACTATTTATTTTGGTTGTGACATTTCACAGTTGTGAATTTCTGCACTGTGTTTCTTGCTGTGCAAATTGATACCAAATGCATTCCTAAAGAAAAATGGGGTGGCTAGATTTTTAATAATACTTTTAATAGTTTCATCCGGGGGAAGACCAGAAAATTAAGCAGGATGGAATTTTAAAGGAATATAAAGAACCTTTAGCTCTGCATTACAATCATAAAGCTTAACCAGAGTGCAATATCTTTCACAATCTATAAAAAGTAAATTACAATTGAAAACTGAATTCTGAACACATATTTTACTTCCAACTTTACTGCAAGCCAGTACTCTCTTGCTAAAAATTTTATTTTATATCTTATATGTCCATTGTTTTAAACAGGAAAAAGCTCTCTGCCCTAAAGAACCCATAGTATAGCATCCTGCTCTTAAAAAATGTGCAAGTACTTAACTTTCTGATCATAGGCTATCTAATGGAAGTCATACTAAGTTAACAAGATTGTAGTTTTTTGGATAAGGCCCAAAGGCTCTATGCTGCAGACTTACAGCAGTGAGTCATACTTGCATGCAGCAGAGACAGGGACATCTCACTCTGCGGGCTGCAGTTTCCAAGTTTTGACCCTAATTACAGGATCAGTGGGCAGAGGATGCATGTTTGCACAGCCAAAGCAGGAACAGATCATGAGTGAAGCAAAGGAGACTGCACATTAGCACTGGCTAGCACTGCCTACATGATGGGTTCTCTTAGATTTCATCAGTTTGTCTTCTTTTTTATTCGTTTTCTTTTTTTCTTAGCCTCTGTCTTGGATGTCTTTAGAAAAAATAAAATAAATAAAACATAAAAATAAAAAATGAGTCCCCTTGACAGTTACAGACCTCTCTTTATTCACTCCTTGGCAGTGAGTCCTACAATGCACCCTGGCTGTTTTGGGGAATGCTGGTTGGTAGCAAGAATCTTGCTCTTGGTGTGCGGGGTTCAAGAGGCAGGGAGAAGGGAAAAGTTTCCTAGTTCTGCTCCTGCTTCTTCACCATCTCAGGGTGTACCAAGAACAGCATTATTTTCACACACAGACAAATCCCAAGGGGTTTACTTAGCAAGAACTGCTGCAATAAACCTCCAAGTCCCCTTTGAAAGCACTACCCCTGTCTGAAGGGCCACTGCATGTAGGGTTTTTCCATATTCTCATCTGACTCTGCCTGTTCACAGTGCTAACAAAGTTTCATATGAATAATAGGAGGCTGCATGGCCCAATTGTGTTGGCATGCTGCTGTCTTGCTATAGTGTGGCTTCCCTAAAAAATCACCTAGGCAAAAAATGGGCAATTGTTTCAGAACAGAGCCTATGTGGGGAGAAAGTAACGAGCAATGACAGAGAGGATATCCTGCCCTAGGTTAAAAGAGCATGTCATCCTTTGCTAGTCAGATCCATCAGCTACAGGATTTACCTTAGAAGCAAATACTAGTGACCATGAGCTCTTGCTTCTGTCTTGGCTTGACCAAACAGACATGGTGCAGGCTTCCCAGCTGCTGCTCAGCTCTTTCCCATCCAGCTGTACAGTGAGGCTCGGTGCTTGAGGACCACTGCAGCTCTTGAATTCCATGTTTTATTTTAACACAGAAAATGTAGCATGATGTGATGATCAGAAAACTCTCAAGCCTCTTGTATAGTGATCAGAGAGAAAGTAATTAATCTTTACAGAGGGCTCAGTGTCAAAAAAATGGCTAAGAAAATAGGAAGAAGGAAGCAGAACCCCCCTAAATAGCCACACAGGTAAAGTGCAGTGCAAATAAATGTCCCTCGTATGGCTGGCATTTCCTTAGGAGGCCTCATGAAGGAAGCATGAGACCAGTCCACCCCAGGACATGCCTGTCTGGCTACTGGGCTCTGGCTGCCTCGGGTGGAGGCACTGGCTCAGTTTGTAAGGACAGCTGGGGCAAGTGTTGACATCCTGAAACCTCCCATCAGCTCAGATTGAATTAACTGGAAAAATGATGGTGATGAAGGAACTCCCCAAGCATGTGTCAGACAGGATTTGATTTTCTCCTCAGCCCACAGGACTTGAATCCATGGATTAGAGAACCCTAACTATCGCAATGTTTAGTACCATAGAGTGAGGAGAGGTACAGTTTCCCCTGCTGGAGCAGTGCTACTTTGCATAAATAATTCACGTTTTTGCCACAACCTGGAAGTCAGTGCTGTAATCACCAGACCAGAAAGACATTCTTGTTATCTCTCAGTGTCATTTTGTTCAATACAAAAAGATTCGGTTTAACTGTCTCAGCTAGGTAAGGAAAACGCGACTGTTTTATTTTTCTTCCTCAAATCAACATTTCTATCCATTCTCAGTTTGGCTGTTGAACTAAAAAAATGAAGTTTCTGCACAGCCCTATGTCTAAGTACCCTCATGTTTTAGAAGCTCTGAATGCTCACTGTTGCAGGGACAGCTCCGTAATGCAATAGTTCAGGTCTCTGGGGCATGTAACAGAAATCCTTAGAGTTTTAGCAACACCTGCAGGAGGGAATTCTCCGTGGATGGTGCCAGGTCTGCTGCTTGGGTTGCAGCATCCCAAGCACAGGGAGCAGCTGCGCCTTGGGTCTCAGAGTTAGAGCTGAATTCCTGACCTGCTTAACAAAATCAGCATTGGCGGATTCAAAGTGGTCTACCAGGATTTTACACAAAGAGCATTTTGCACCTGAGGATGAAGATGGATGATTACTGGGGTGGTTTGGAGGTGCCAAAACAGATTAGGTGCTCGATATCTGCTGGGAACTGGGCATTTAGCCTGCTCAGGCTCTTCTGACAATACCACTTTGCAATCATCGAGATTGTATATGCACCTGAAACCTTGAATAACTAATGGAAAAACCTCTATTTACATACTGAAATTATAGAAATTTATATAATTTTAGTTTATGTCTTTTCAGAGTGAAGCTATATCAACTAGTTAATGGGAGTATATATGTAAATAACTACTATAGAATGTACAAAATAGCTGACTCAAATCTAAGCCATGTGTTAGCACATTTTATTTTATTTTATTTTATTTTATTTTATTTTATTTTATTTTATTTTATTTTATTTTATTTTATTTTATTTTATTTTATTTTATTATTTATTTCAGTTTTTAATTTTTATACTAGTGTGTTTTTTAGTTTGTTTTGCTTCATTGGTTGGTTTTACATAAAGAAGAGAGTAGGTAACTGGATTATTTTATGAATGGATAATCTTCTCTAAGAGTATTGCTTGTACCTGGTAGAGTTTTCTACTTATTGCAGCATAGTAAAGCTTCAACAAAAAAGACTTATGCAATGACATAAATTGTTAATCTAATTATCCTTTTCCTTAACATCTACCCTACAATAAGATTTGTAGCTGGATCCTCAGCCCTTCATTGACCTGAGTGCTTAATAAGCTCTCAGATGTTGTCTTCTCTGGACCAAGAAGTTAATAACAAACTACAGGGACATCCGTTTTGAGATACTGGCCTAGCATGGCCTGGGTTTTTCGTGGGTGGGCAGTTCTGTAGGATTATGTCTCTCTGAAGTGCCCTAAACTAGACACCACAAGATACAGGTATCCAGAATTAGCAAGCAGTTTGACAAATCAAAATATGTGTCTCCATCTCTTTTCCTGTGAGTGGTCATTAGATTATGGATATCATGATGGCAATTCTAAGAATAAATAAAACTGTGTTACCTGTCATAGCTAAGAAAGTCAAGAGGAGTCACGACCCCCAGGATAACTGTGTCTGCAGCCCTTTGTGGCTTTCTTTCTGATCTGAAGTGCTGCAATTTACTGCCCTGAAGAACTTGGTTCATTCTTTGCAAAATGCAGGCAAGGAAACCTTTTCAATGATTCTAATAAATGTGACAATACCATCTCCTCAACTTTAAAATATGCCACATAAAGGAAGCTTTATTTGTTCATATTTATATTCCTACACAAAACATACACTGTCTGATAATTCCTCCTGCCCCACTACCAGCAGGTGACCGTGTAAGTTCTGCCACTGATCTGTGAATTGTTCATTATACTACCTGCATGAATTCACATGGATTTAAAAATATATATATTTAACAAAAAAAAAAAATTTGCCTCCCTTAATTAAAATATTTGGATATTCACTTATGGGAGTAACTAGTTTAACACTACAATAAGAGAGTGCATTAGGACCACGAGCATGTAAACTCACTGCACTAGTGGCTAGCTAGTGCAAGAGTAGCTCCCTGTAAGCAGTAGTTAGCTCACTGAGTAAGAACTTGACCTGATTTATACTAATTTGCAGTATTTTACAATAACTATCACATCACATGTACAATGAGGAAATAGCACCACACTATGCTGGAATGTTGATGTTTCCAAACATCCATAAAACTGTATTAAAAAAAAAAAAATGTATAAGGAAACACAAGGAGTAGGCAGAACCCCTAAGAACCATTCAGGGATACATTCTTAATGTAATATTTAATGCACAAAATCTTAGGGGAAAATGCCCAAACAGCTGTTGTTTTCTCTAATGTGAGTATTAAAATTGACCTCAGCTTTTTTTTAAGTCTTAGCATATCATTTGTACTATTCTACTTTTTCTCCTTTCACATCACTATGAGAGCACCAGAAACTTAAAAATATAGTAAGGTACCTTTCTCTGACATAAATGATCAAGGGTTTTAGTGTATGCACCAAAAAGCAATACACAGAAAATTGAGAGAGATCCAGCTCACCTTGAAGTCCATTTCCATTTGCACTGGTGCAAGATGGTGGAGGAGAGGCTTGGGGCCTGACAACAGGAGCAAAGGCGCTCTTTTGTTTCACTGCAGAGATGACATTGGCAGGTGAGAATGAGAAAATGCCGTGTGTACTGCTACAGTTTGAAGGGAGGGTGACCGAAGAGGCTGCCATGGTAGGGCTTGACGGCACTACTGCAATAAAGCAAAAATAATCAGGACTCAGATTGAGGTTTTCACGGCAAACATGGAAAAAGAGAGTGATAGGGCCTTGCCTCTTAAAATATATATATATATATAAATATATATTTTTTAAAAAAGGAAAAAAAAAAGAAAAAAAAAAAAAGAAATGAAATGCCTTGGCTTGGCCACTCTCTGGATAACAGGCAAACTCTTTTGTGTTGGACTTTTGTTACAAATTGTGCAGTCCAATTTTTTTTTTTCTATCTGAGATTGTATTATGGCACAAACAGATCAATTTATTATATTCATTTTTACGTCCAGCCTCCAGAGTCACCCCTCCTTTTATCCAGTAGCTCACAATATAGAAAATCAAAACAATGCAAGTATTTGATTTTGTAGTAAATATGAATCTATATGATGATGTGTTACCAAAAATAGACACTTACTGCCATAAGGAGAGTTAGCTGAGGAGCCATTAAGAAATCCAGGGGAACCTGGTACACCTAGATTGGGCATGCCGGCATTGCCATATCCATTCATGCTATTGCTGACTGTGTTGTAATTGGACTGCTGAGGAGTACTGCTCGGAACATATCCTCGCGGGGAAACACTGCTTGTGTTGCGACTGTAACCTACTGTGTTAGAAACCCCCCCACCCCAAAAAAATAATGTTATTTTATAATATAAACTTAGGGCTGGGGGGTTTCCTCATGCATCATATATTACACAGTTTTAATTGATTGCACAGCTTTGCTCTAAGTTGTCTGTTACTGCCCTATCAACTCTTGCAGTTTGAGATAACCTTATCACGCCAACCCTACTTAAATCATCTGCGAGCACTCTATGTTGTCTCTCCTCTTAGCATAGACAGCCAACAAAAGCTCTCTTCGATCCAGCTGTGTCAGTTTGCTTCACATTTGTCTTTAGTAGCAATTATCAACAGGCTTGATTCCTGCCTGGTACCAACACACTGAATGAACTTTCAGCCTCTCCAGACCTTCATATGCCAGAGCTGGCAAGAAATTTTTTTTGTTGTTGTTGCAGTGATTTACTTTAAAAGGCTGTTTTGGGGTTTTCATTTTATGATTGGTATTTTTATACTAACAATAAGCTGGTACTTTCATAAGGTGTAGTCATCAGTGAAAACTAATTCAAGATCAAGTACAGAATTTTATAAGGCTTATTAGCTTGGAAATGCATTAAAAGACAATCTCTTATAAGAGGAAAGATAGCAGAATCAGGATTTTAAACAACAATTTGTTTCTATCTGAGCAATCAATTTAATAATTATGTTGCAAGCAAAAAAAATATGGTTTTGAACATATCTAATAATCTGGTTTCACTCCTTTCATTAGTATCAAAATTAATTTTAAATGCAATATGCTACATGCATTTTCAATTACAAAATGTAAATTACATCAACTATTTCTTTTATTAGTAACATATATGTCATACATGCTTAAAAACAAAATACTTTAAAATCACAGACATAAAATTAGTTTTATCTGTGTAAATACTCAAAAAAAAAAACAGGTGGAAATAACTAGACATAATTATTTTATAATAAACAAACACATTGTATATTTGCTGTGAATAATAAAGAGCTTTCTACACTTTGCCAATTTCTTTTTCCACCAGAGATGCTTTATAACAGTAAACTAAAGAACAGGAAGAATTAAGTATTATGAGAAAGTTAAAGACAGCATTTCATTACATGATCAGACATATGACTACGGGGAGAAAAAGAGGTAGAACACAGTGGTGACATTAGCTAATATTAATAGGCACTGTCCAAACGTAGCCAACAACAAGAAGGATTAACTCTTGAAAACCCACATACCTTGGTCGTTAGCTTGTGATGTTTCTGAAACATTAACTGCTAGCTGGCTGCTAAATGAGTTCACTCCCATCATGCCAGTATGAGCAGGAGTGTTGGCTAGAGTAGGAATCTGGTTGTGATTGCGTGGCACGCTGTATAACGCTTCAGCAATGTCAGCTGCTCGTTTCAGGATTATTTCCTATAAAGATATAAAATAATTACTAACAACTAGGAAACTTAGTTGTGCAAATGTTCAAAGTGCTAATAATGTTAAAATCCATAAAAGAGATTCATGTGAAGTTATAGTAAGCATGGGAATTTTGCTATTTGTTTGTTTGCTATTTGTCAAATGAACTTTGTTTTCCCTCCTCTGTTCTGAAGTGCTATATAATCTCACATCAACACAGCACATATGAAGAGATAAAGAAATGAACATAACATTGGTTAGCGTAGTAAGCCATGTGAAAATTGTAAACACATATTTTCTTCGTCCAGTGCAGTAGATGCATTTCCAGCAGTTTGCAAAATGCAGTATGTTTTGTTCGCTCTGTTTAGCAGATTTATGTAGGACTTCCCATTAGTCACTGTATATTTTGGACTGAGTTCAAGGTTATTCTCTTGCCTTAATGATTGCTTATGCTTTTGGCGCCTTACACTTAATTGTCATTTCTGATAGGCAAACTAGCGGTGAGAAGAGAATGGGAAGATGAAGCATTTCCCTTAGAGCATTGCATCACATCAGACTGCCCTCAAGGTGGCTGGCAAAACCACACAGTGTACAGAAAGCATGTGTTGA